GTAAACATGAATTTTTGAGCGAATTCTTCTCAAAAGTTCGTAGAGTTTGCACTAGACGCATATAAAAATTTATACATACTACAAAAATTAAATGTCACGCGCGCTTATTAGAAATATAAATTAATTTTTCTTATAAAGAATAAATATCGCTTATTAAAAAATAAAAGTTATAATTAAGATAAAAGTAATTGAGATAAAAATAAGATTTATTTTTAATTAAAAGAAACATGTTTATACATGGTGATTCAGTTCAACTGCAGGAGTCGGCAATATTCCTCATGAAAAAGCGAATCGAAAATGTTAATAGCAAAATGTTGTTGCATCAATAGTTTTCAAACTGCTATAAATTTGTTCATGTTGCTTGCACTTATTGCATTTAACATCTTTATTCTCTTTCTTTTCAACGCCTAAATATAATATTTACATCGCTTTAAGTGCAAACATTTTTTAAGTGCAAGCCATGAGAACACCTTTACGGCTTACGTTTTGTATGTGCCATGGGCTTAAGCCGCCGCCGCATACGTTCTCAACTGCGATTGGTCAATTCTCTTACTGATTACGTTTACGGCCTTACGTTTTTCTATATTCATGGGCTTTATGATTTCGTGCAATTGGAGCATATATCCTCTTTTGGAGGTTTTTCTTCCTACTGAAGAATTTTTTTAGAAATACGTACAAGAAGTTTAGAAAAATTTTTGAGAGACTTTTTAGGAAGAAAATACAAAAAATATCCAAATTATGGCTAGAATATTGAAAAAAATCGCAATATATAGGAATAAGTTTCGAACAGACTTGACAACACGAATTATGGCGCCATGTGGTCACAAGAATTTATGTGGATTGATCTGAACCAGCCTTTAAACATTTGCTGTCGTGTTCATTTTGTTTGGAACCACCTGCATCCTATCAAGTGCTGAGTATCGCCGGTCAAACTTCGCAATGCGAGGTGAAAACCGCAATAGCGAGAAATGGGTTTCATCGAGGACACTATCGTGATTCTTGTAACACAGGTGGAAATTCGTTTCCACTACAAAAATCAGATTTATCAATACTTCCTGAACTGATTAAGGTTATAAAGAGAGTACGGTGCTCTATATGTAGATCTCAAAATAATGTGAACGATTGTTTGTTTTGTTATTATTAAACGATGTTTAATGTAAAACATAATATAGTCGATAAATCATGCTTTATAGAGCCAGTCACTGGTTGAGATTGTGTGTACACACAATCAACCAGTGACTGGCTCTACAAGGCATTATTTATCGACTATATGATACATCTCTACAGAGCTTATTAATTATATTAATTTTAATGTAAAACATAATTTAAAAAAAAAAATTATACATATTTTTTGGTTGTGTTCTTGAAAAGATTTCTTATTATATTCTCAATCAGCATTAATTCTTAACGTATTTATCTATGGATTTTTCTCTGCATATTTGTGAAACTATAACTGAATTGCGTGAGATGTATGTATTTTTGAGATTATATATATTACAATAAATTTTATAATGTAAAGCGCTTTGTAATTTATTTAGTAAAATTTCGAATCTATATGTATGTGTGTTTCAATATGTTATTTGTTTTTGGATAAACTTAATGTGGATAGAATCCACTATATAACAGATTCCATTTATTTTTATTCCTATATATTTCAGATAATTTTCTTCTTAGGAGGATGGGTATTCTTTGTGAAAAAATTGTTCAGAGATTATGAGGTTCATCATAGACTAGTACAACTAATTTTCTCAACAACGTTTTCATTATCATGCACCATGTTTGAATTAATTATTTTTGAAATAGTAGGAGTACTCGATTCAAGGTAAAAAAATTTCCATTTTGTTTTAAGATATGATACATTGTAAAAAGAAACATAAAATTATAGTCTATATGTAATAAAGCCTGTATGTAAGTATTAGAATATATAATATATAGATATTTATTTGTAAAATATTACATATAAAAAATGTTTTAACCACAGGTTTTGAACCTCCTTAGTATACAATAAACATAAAAAAATAATAAATTATTAAATGATTGCAAACAATAATGTCATTGAGCATATTTGAATTCTTTGTGTGATACTAAACAAATATCTATTTATATATGTTATATGCATTTACATGATGAGCTTTTATGCCTCCCATTTAGTTATGTCTTTGATACTCTTTTAATGTAAAGAAAAATAAGATGACTTTTTGTGTCAACTTGTTACTAAATGGAAGGCATCCATTGGCTACTTTACTCTTCTTTCTATTTTATCTCAGTTTATTCTCAGTCTTTCATATTTGATTATGATATATTGTTTTCTTTAGTTCTAGGTATTTTCATTGGAATGCTGGCCTTTACATGCTTCTATTTATGGTGATAGTTCTGATACCATTTTACATAGCATATTTTATTATCAGCAATATCAGATTTGGTATGTATTTATTATTTTTTTTAACTTTTATTTCTACTAATTATCTTTATCAAACATTTATAAAAAAATTAGTAAAGGAAAAATTAATAATCGCCATTAAGAGCCGACATAAGTTGAAAGCATGTACATTCTGATTTAATATAAAATTCAATAATATATAAACGTTTCAACCCTATATTCGGGTCCTTATCAATATAAGAAAACAATATTAAATATTAATCGCGATACATAAAGATGTCATTCATCCATCAATTCTTGTTCACATAAATGCTAATTTAAATGACTGTCAAGAATTGATAGTGTCAATAATAATAGATACTATATACAATTATTGTGAAGCTTCATTAGACTGCTCAGTAAAATGAAAAATGTATAATTCATATGTAAGATGTTACTCGTTCGAAATTAAAATATATAGTCAAATTAGCATTTATGTGAACAAGAATTGATGGATGAATGACATCTTCATGTATCGCGATTAATATTTAATATTGTTTTCTTATATTGATAAGGACCCGAATATAGGGTTGAAACGTTTATATATTATTGAATTTTATATTAAATCAGAATGTACATGCTTTCAACTTATGTCGGCTCTTAATGGCGATTAATTTTTCCTTTACTGATTTATTCACACGAGCCTTATAAATTATTTTGTATTATTTATAAAAAAATCTAATAAGTTTTATTCTGTGCAGTAAGACTGAATCTAATACGGCCATTGACAGTTGTCATATATCTTTTTTATCTCTACTTGTTCTGGAAAGTTGGTGATCCCTTCCCCATACTTAGTCCGAAGAAAGGGCTGTTATCTATAGAACAAGGCGTCAGTCGAATAGGTGTTATAGGTGTCACAGTAATGGCTCTTTTGTCTGGTTTTGGCGCTGTGAATTATCCATATACTTCAATGACTTATTTTATGCGTCCAGTTTCTTATACAGATGTACAGTCTATAGAAAAACGATTGTTGCAAACTATGGATATGATTATCGCGAAAAAGAAACGAATTGCGTCAGCCAAAAAAGGTGAAGCTGATGGACAAACCGAAACTCGATTTCGACTATGGGGAATGTTAAGTCCATTAGGTGGTACAAAAGGAAATCAAGAAAGTATATATTTTCTTTAATTTTGCAAAGCTATGAATATGATTTATCTTAATGACATAATACATATTATTTTATAGGTATCAAGCAATTACAAATCGAAGTTACCGCTTTAGAAGAATTATCACGACAATTATTTTTAGAAGCGCATGACATACAAAATGCAAGAGAACGTCTAGAATGGGCTGCCACTTGGCAAGGAAAATATTTTAATTTCTTGGGTTATTTCTTTTCTCTCTACTGTACGTGGAAAATATTTATTGTAAGTGTAATAAGTTAATGATTTAATTAAATTTTTTTTTTAAGAGAATAATATATAATTATATTTTTCTATAGTCTACAATCAACATAGTATTCGATCGAGTCGGCAAAAAAGATCCTGTAACTAGAGGAATCGAAATTGCTGTGCATTGGATTGGTTTCAACATCGATGTCACATTTTGGTCGCAACACATTTCTTTTTACCTCGTCGGTTGTATTGTTGTAACATCCATACGTGGATTATTGTTAACTTTAACAAAGGTATGAAAATATATATATATATATAATAATTATGTATCATTTTATATATATTGTAATTCTATACTTTAATTTCTATAAAATAATTCACATGTATGTACTATCTATCCTATATAGTAAAAATTTCTAATATTACATGTAAAATGAGATACGTATGTAAATACGTACTAAAAAACACGAATATTAATTAATGTTTTGTTACCTCATCAATTTTAATTTGACAATACTCACTAACGATTTTTCTATTTTAGTTTTTCTATGCCATATCTAGCAGCAAGTCGTCAAATATTATTGTACTTATACTTGCGCAAATAATGGTAAGGACAGTTATTATAATATAAAACATGTAATTCTTATAGAGTTTATTGTTTATTTATATTCAAAAATTTTATGACATTCTCTTTTTTTAGGGAATGTATTTTGTATCTTCTGTACTGCTTATGCGGATGAATATGCCAGCAGAATATCGCATTATAATAACGCAAGTATTAGGAGAATTACAGTTCAATTTTTATCATAGATGGTTTGACGTTATTTTCTTGGTATCAGCGTTATCATCAATAGTGTTTTTATATTTAGCTCATAAACATGCACCAACGGAACATATATAACGAAATAAAAATACTTTTTATTGAGAGAAATCTCATCAGCCTTATTTTATGAAGTAGTTTATTTAAAATCTACATTTGATATTTTAGTAGATAAGTTATTAGTAAAATATGTTCATTCCCGTCAGAGCGAATAATGAAACTTTAAATGTATATATTTTTACTAGCGCTGGTAACATTTTTAAATTATATACATAAATGCTGTCGTTATATAACATTTTTTGTTGTGATGTGTATCCCGAAATATTTATTTTTTTTTTATTAAATCATAAAATAAAAGAAACTAAATTACAGAAAATTATATCTGTAGTTTTAAAAATATTATACACTGTTTATGTAATTGATTAATCTCAGAAAGCAATTGGCCATTATTTTACTGTCACAGTAACTAAATTGTATATTTGTTCTAAGAAACAATCATTCAGATCACAGATAACTGAATAGTAATAGAAAATTGGCATTATGGTATGGATACTGAGTTGATTATGGATAATGAGCCCATAATCCTAATGTAATAGTTCGATGGTCCATTCCTCGCCCATATTTACAGCTGGTTTACGTATCGTTAATACATTGTTATGTGGGTTATATGTAGTTTCCAATGTTACTTTTCCCATACCTGTAAGAGTAAATATATATTATTAAAAGATATTAAAATATAAATTTGTCGAACGAATTGACTTCACGCTTGAATCTGACTACTCACTGTGAGATTCCAATTGAGCAGATTTAATTCCTTGTGGCGGATTAGCTATATCTATTCTTTCTAACCAGCTTTGTGTTTCATACGAAGCTAGTTTATCAATTAGAGTTGATACTATTTTATTACTGTCCAACGTTATTCTTAAATACAAATATTTTCCATGACGATATTCGAAACTGACTTCATCATCAATATATAAATTACCGCTAGCTCTGCCATTACTATCGGCAATTATTATCAGCGTGTAAGGATCATTTCTCATAGCAACTGTACTGCGTCGTATTCTCATTTTTCTAGGGACGACAGATCCACTTCTTTGGAACACAGGAATCTTGTGGATCGTTACCGGTATTGTAACGTACCCTCCTTTCTGGTAGGCTTGCATTGTATCAATATCATACCACGTTACTTTGTCTTCTCCAGGGAAGTAAACTGATATTTCAGTAGCACTGGATTGAAATACTGGACACACAAGTATTGAATCACCAAGTAACAACTCGTCATCAATAATGAAAGTTTGGGATTCGGTTGGATAATGCGTCCATAAAGGACGTATGACAGGATAACCATTTACTTCGTGTTCTCTAAAGAGTGTGTACCATAATGGCAGATAAGAATATCGTAATCTTAATGCTTCACGAACTATTTGAGTAGTTTCCTCATTGAATGTCCATGGCTCACGCCTCTTTGTTTCAATGTGAGAATGCTGACGGAAGAAAGGTAGCCATGTTGCACCTTGATACCATCTAATAAATAATTCTGAATCTGGATTCTTGAAGAAACCTCCAACATCAGCACCGCAGAACGACATTCCAGATATAGCCACTGAGAGACACATGGGATAACTTACACGAAAGTGACTCCAATCAGCCATGTTATCGCCAGTCCACATTGCTGCATAACGTTGTGATCCAGCAAAGAAAGATCTTGTTAAAATAAACGGTCTTAGAGAACCGCCTGATCGACGGAATAAAGCATCATATGTCGCACGAATGTACATATGTCCATTAATATTGTGAACGTCTCTGTGTTCCCAATCTCCATGATGAACAAGATCTTTTGGTGCTGTTATTTCAGGTCCATTAAACACACTTGGTTCGTTCATATCATTCCAAATGTAAACGTCATTAGTAGTACCATGGAATTTATCTAAACTGTACAATCCAGTATAATAATCAACAACCTTTGGATCAAAAAAGTCTAAATACGACGAGGCGCCTGGCCAGCACCAACCCTCGTAATCTTTTCCATCCCTGTTTTTGATGTAATAGCCCAAGCTGGTGGCATCATTATGTAAAAAATAATTGTTATCACGTTTAATATGAGGATCTATGATGACTACCAATTTTCTGCCTTTGGCAGTAAGATTGTGTACCATATCAAGAGGATTTGGAAATTTACGTGCATCCCATGTAAAATATTTTTTGCTGTCAGTATATTCGATGTCAAGCCACATAACTTCTAATGGTATATCGTGCGTATCAAAATTTTCGGCGATCGTTGCAACATCATCTTGATCATTATAATTCCAACGGGACTGATGATATCCGAGTGTAAACATCTAAAATACATATTTTAAGAGAAAATACTTCATAACTTAAAATTTTAATTTTTATTACAATAAAAAACAATATTTATTTAACATACCTGAGGCAAAGGAGCTGTACCAGTTAAAATAGTGTATTGTCTGAAAACATCAAGTGGTTTCGGACCCAGCATAAAAAATACATCAATCACTCCAGATTCTGACATGAAATGAGCATCCACCTGAGATTTCTTAATTGACCTTGATACAAAATTAACAATACTTTCCACAACGTTATTATCTGCACTCGATAGAATGTCGATCCACGTTTCTGCTGTATTATGCCAGAAAACAGCCGAAGACCTTTCTGTTCTGAAATATTACAAGAACCAATTTTACATAAATATTTTCCAAGAATACAATAATTTATTAACTTATTTAATATGTTATTACCCATGAGCGTAAAGCACGGGAATAGCACCATATAAAGACATATGTTCATTTGTTTCATATTCAAATACATCCAAATTATACAGTCTATATGGATCAGTAGATTTCGTTGATTGCAATGCTAGTGAGTCAGCATGTTCTGGAATACCATAGGCATGCTCCGATCCAGGAAAGCTGAAATCCATGGCAACAGCTTCTGGTCCATAAGGTTTTGCATCATGATGCTCCTTGAAGTTTTCTTCCCAAGCACCAGGATCATTGTCAGCACCATCACCAGGATATGCAGTATTGTTTGTTCCTGTCATTGTTTCAGCATTTCCATCTTCTGGTCTATATAACATCCAAGTAATTATACACATAATTTTAAAGAAATTTTGATACAACAATATTCTAATAATACTCACTTTATTGGTTTCGTACGCAAATGCTCAAATCTCATAAGACCACGGGCATTTGCAGATATTGTTAAAATACCTTGGGAATACAGTTCTACTTTAAATGGATTAATATATAAAATAGCTTTGTTTTCGCCTTTGGTTACAGTTATAGTTTCAGCAGTGCTTTCTACAAAATCCATCTCTACCGTTTGTGGTTGATCATAAAGGGCATATTCATTTTCAAATCTAGGATGCAATGGATTCTTTTCATTGATATGCAACCGAAACGTGTTTTCTTTTAACGTTGTGAGTTGTACCACATAAGTGACACCTGTATCCTTATTAAATAAATCTACTATGATCATTGATTCATTCTGTACAAGTTTATCTGGTAAAAGCTGATATGCAGTTTTTCCAGATTCCATCCCTCTGCACCGTCTACAAGATACAAAATAATGATTACATAGCTTTTCAGATGACAATATTTACAATAGTAGATAATTCTTACCGACAGAAACTACTCTGGTCACATCTTTTGAAGTTGTCTCTGTTGACTGCATCAGTAATGAATGGAGAACATAGTAGTATTAAGAATAGAGCCAACCTGAAATTTTTATAAGAATAGAATGAAGTAAAATAAAAACAGAGAACAAAAAATAAAAATCAAAACCACATCTAATGTTGAGACACAATGGATCGCATTCTACATAAATCACAAATTAAAGAAATATTTCTAAATCATATGCACTAATAGACGAGTATTACATTGTGCTCTATCACGTCCAGCTGGGTAACGACCTCAAGAGGAAATCCTGCCAGAAAACGCAGCCACGCAACAATTTGTATGGCAACGTCCGTTTATAAAATAACTGTAGAGAGCTTCACCGTGGCGTATCACGGTATAGCGGCCGGTATCACAGTCGTTCGACGACAGATTAGATTAGATTGGCGGCCGGCGCCGCGAGGAGTTAATTGAAAAAAACTATTTATATCGGAAACAACATTGCGCGGAGGGGACACGTCAGCGGCGTATCAATGATCTGTGAGATCTACGTCACGATTTTATACCAGGAAAATAGACTAGGACCGCTGTAACCACTGAGAATATCGCGCACTGAACGATCTCACGCACATACAGCCGCGATAAATCTGTATTTTCGCAGTCCAAAGGTTAAAAAGCCGGAAATAAACTCACCGAATACACGAAGCCATGTTGAAGAAATAACTACTGCCTTCGCGTTCGCGGCGCTAAATCATGCGGAATCGTTGATCGCGTCGTGTGGGATTGATTTTACAGATGGCGCGTCGAGGTATTTTGCGATAGAATTCCTCTAATAATAAAATAGGATTCCCATAATTATTATAGGAATTTTATTTTCCGACACCGATTTGAATTTGATGATACAAAATATAATTCTTTCTTCAGTGTACAAATACATAAATAAATATATATATATGATTAATTTAAAGAAGCATATAAAAATATATATATATATAAATTTCTTTTAAATTAAAATATTAACATTACATAGAAATTTAATTGTAACAAATAATATTATATTATCTTATCATTTAATAAATTGTTATTATTCATAATTAATTCATTATTATCATATTGTTATCATACGTGATGTTATCATACTCAAATATTTTAGATATATATTCGGATAAAATATTTCAATAAATAACACAAGCTTACTTATATAACATTAATAATAATAATAATAAATGAATTCAGAATTTTATTTTTATTTTAAATTTTTAGTATTGTTTTTATAAACTTGAAAAGAGCTTGTATCTATTAGAGAAATTATTGTATTTGATTTCATATTTTTAATATTTTAATATATTTTAATATATTTTAGTATTTTATATTGTTACCGTTCACACAATCCACAAATGGATTAGCGTATGCTCACGTTTCATGCAAGTGTAGAAAGTGCCGCTAAAATAAGCGGGTTCTATTACCCATTTGAAGTTGCCGCTTCGTCGACCGTTTTACTGTATTCAAAGAACCGCCATGTTATATTTCGAATCGTGTTTGGCTACGTACACTGCGTGTCGGGTTCGAATTATTTCCGTATCTTTCGCTGTTACTACATAAAGAATCCTATATTCCTGTGTGCGCGAAATATCTTAATCCAAATGCATCTCACAAATATATCGGTTTTATTTCTTTCGAAGCCAATTAATCGCGTGTAACTGCTGTTCATCAACTTCGCGATCCCGGAGTCAACGATGCTTTCTCGCATGTACGGAATCGAAATTCTTCTCGCGTCGTTATTTTCACAATGCAACAGAAATTTAGTCGGAAGTGCACTTGGATCGTCGCCAAGTACGTATTCTTACATAATATCTAACTAATTAAAATTATAGCTGTGTCAATTATATATATTTATTACTTTCGAATTATTAAACATCGAATTTGTCTTAATAATTAAAATATTTAAAATTCGTAGATAATGACGGCTGTCGTTATTTTATCAAGGCAATCTTTGTCATATTGCAATATACGTAACTTACATACAATTGTATTTATATTTACAAAATTTTGTTTTATTTAACAGGTCTTATGTTTATTGAAGCGGATTGAATGGAGTATAGAAATTCCAACGTTGGTGCTACTTTTCGGTAAGTCTACCACAAATATTTTATCTCTCGATTTGTCGGATGTGTAATACGTTCATCTCGCTATGTGTTTTCAAAATAAATTGCAAACTCGACCGCACTATACCGACCACATTTAATTGTGGTCGGTATAGTTTATTTAATTAGTACAGTAAATATGCTTTTGATTACATATGGAAAAATATCAATTGTTGGAAATTATTGCTGCATGCAAAATGTTGATTTATGACAAGCATCGCACAATTATGGTAATGAATATGTTAGAATATAACTATCCGATGAACTTTCATGCAAATACTAGGGAATGTCATTGTTTATAGCAATTTGGAGAAAACAAAACTGCCTTTTTAACACAATTTATTAACATAATATTGGCATAATATTGGCCCAATATTGTCTTAATATATTTTCATTGTTAAATCAACATATCGCCAATGAATTGCTATTAGGATGAAAATTATTGCATATCGACATTGTTTAACATTTTGTTCTTAAGCATGACATCGAGATAAATAATTAATTTTGTTCACAAACCTTCCGCATTACTCTTTCGGTTACTTATATTTCGTGATATATATAAAAAGGATGCGTACAATTAATTTTTATTCTTTAGGCAAATATTAAGCACAAATAAAAGTAAGTAACACGAAAACAATTAATAAAATTATTTGATCGATTCAATTGATTTTATTGACTGGTTAAGTAATTTTCTATTACTTGTTAAAAGTATTATTTAAATTAAATCCATACATCGTAATTGCACATGCACAATACAGTACTAGGATTGGTGCTGCCGTCTGTAAAAAAACTGTTGATTCTTAAAGTAGAGAATTCAAAATCGTGTCCAATAATCCTGAGATTTATTCTTATTTTTTATATACATAAATACTTTAAACGAATTTTCGGTTTTATTATATTTGCAATAAGAATATTAGAGTGTAAAAAAGTATATATGGAATTAATATGAAATATTTGTTTAGGATTTATTGTTATATTTACGCAGGTATAATAACATGGAGTAATATTAATATCAATAATATTAATAAAAGATAAGCCACCGTAATGCAAATAAATAATAAATTAGTCCGTGTTTACTTAACATCGCACATTTAATTTATTAGAATTAGAAGAGTAATGCATTCAGTTGGCAGGGAAAATACAAGTCCTATGATAATTATAATATATATATTATAGATTATAGATGTTTGGCACTCGGATCAGTTCACTTTTGGTGGATGTAAAAAAGACTAACAGTTTACCTCTAACATATTCATGAATCAACGAACGGGTTCTCTCTCTCTCTTTCTCTCTTTGATTCTCTCGATAAAATGTCTTTAATTAGAATCTATTAATGCATATACTATGAATTCATGGAACAGTACGTTCTACATAGGAGTTGTACCTATTATAATATATTATATATTATTATGATTGCTATAATCAACATTCACATTAAATTGTTTTATTAAATATACGTTTTAATTTTAAGAAAATTATCATTAATCCACTTTCGGCCAGACATTTACTTAAGTTTCTGCAAAAGCGTATGAAATTTTATTTTCATCAATCTATTATAATTTTATTAAGGCAATTTGAATTGCTATCCATAACAAATCTGCTCGTTTCTAAGAAAAGATCTTGAATATAATCAACAGTGATAAAATAGAGATATGATGTATTTAAGAATGTCACTGTGAATCTTTTGATAACAATTAAAAAATAAAAAATGCCTTTTTAAATATTATTTTATTAACATATAAAGATCTTAATATTTTTCCTATGTTATAAGAACAATTTTAGTAATTTATTTAAATCAAAATTTAACTAAATTTGGTTTAATAAATTTATATTGTATTCACAACCAAATGACGCTATGTTTCTGTTTATTATTAATATACGATTCACTTGATGCTACAAATGCTTTGAAGAATTCTTTATCTAATCAAGTAGAATAAAATTCTTTCTTCTGATTGATCAATCAAATATTTCGAACCATTGATAGCATCAAGTACCTATTAATTTCTATTTAATAATTGCATTTATAGAAGAATTACATAGATTTAATTACAATTATTGTAAACTAAAAACATTTAGCATAAACTATCATATTATTCAATGTTAGCCGAAAGTGAATTCATTGACATTACCGTGAATTTAATGATAACGTAACGTAAAATTTTTTTTAAAAAGCAACGAACTCGTCAACATGCTTCTTAATAATTTTTTTCTCAGATAATACTGAAATCGCGCACGCACAACCCCGTTCATCGCTTATGAATTATGAACTCGTCGCGCGTTAACGATTTGTAGTAGAAAAGATTTACACTCATTCATGTAAAAAACAGCTTATAGACTTTGACTATTACTGCTAATTCGCATTTAATACGTCAGATAATCATCTTATTTGACATCGCCTAGTGTCTATCGCTCGCAAAAGCTTGTACAGAAACGAAACAGATGAGAATTGTGCATGCAGTATTCGGTACGTTACGATTCTATGTAATTCGATCCAAGATAATCATCGTAATCATTCGTGAAAAAAAATGTAAGAAAATAATCCGTGGAAAACAACATCGTTTTTACTATTTTATCGCTTTTAATGCTTATAATAACATTTTAAAAGTATTATTTATCAACTTATGGCACGTTTTAATTAAAATTATAATTCAATGCGTGGCGTTACTAAAGATAAAATACATGTTATATTGTCGTGAAAAGAGCGACTCGATCTTTGTGCATTTTACCAGGTAAATGTTAATTGTCATTTTACGTTTATTTGCGCAATATGAGCAACATCAAACAGGGATAAGATGAAATGATTGCATGCGGAATTTATATCAAAGGGAAATAAGAGAGTTTGACAATACGACGGTATAAAAAGATATGTCGAAACTCGAGTACGGAGCTGTTCATATAAATGCATTTCGTTTGCGTTCTTTGATGACAAATAACAAGTAACAGGAACATACATTGTCTCGATTACATTGTGTATATTTAATCATTGTATAATACAGTGTCACAAAGTTCCTGTATTATCCCGATTACTCGATGTTTGCTTTACAGCTTAATTAAGAGCGAAAGTTCCTTTTATTAGTCTTAATTTGCTGTGTGTGTGTATGTGTGTGGAACTTACGATAATAGG